TTCTCACCTGATGGCCCCCCTGCGACTGTGCCTGTCTTAGGTTGTTCCTCCCTTGAGGAATCTTACCCGTCTCTGGCTAACCAGTCATCTTCCGGGGCCATACAGGGAAATGTAAAGTTGGTAAGTGAGAGAGAAGCCATATTGTTTGAAAAGGTTAGCTTTTCACTTCTTTGCAGATTTATGCCCTGTGGCTTCTATGCCCAGCATTTGTCTTGAGGTATCTTTACCACTTGGAAGAATTGTGATACTCGGTAATTTCGATATGAGGCACGAATTCTACTTAGGGGTTGTAATTATGAAGGAAGAAGAGAAGCTCTAGAAGTAGCAGATGGAAGAAAACATGGGAAGACTGATTATTTCTTTGACATATCTTCTTGTAGAGTAACATAAGCATGTATAGGTTTTAAACTACTAATTAAGTTGCGCACACACATTAACATAATAGGAATACAGTTACATAACCAAAGCAGACCTACAATTACCAGCCATATCCAGTGAAACCAAGAAAACCAGTTAGGTACCCTAGGCATTTGTGAAAACTTATCAATGATATGATGGATATTGTCTAACTGAATTTGAATAGTTTGAGAAAAATCAGGCAAATTAAAACAACACATTCCTGGGAACTGTTCACATCCAATGTGTTCTTTTAACAGTAGATAGTCTATAGTTGCAAGATTTTGGAGCACTGCAACTTGGCACTTCTCCTAATTCTTGGTTGAGTTCCAACAGTATAGACCCAGTCAAATTTGTTGTTTTACTGTATGCACAGGCCAGCTTAGATATCTCCTTCTTCATTCCCATGGCAAGTCCAGGAACTGGTGGGATGAATGCAGCTGCAACTGCAGCAGCGCCAGGATCTTTGTTGAAGTTTTTTGATGTTCATCTTCTGGTCTTTGGGGTTTTTTATGTACAATATCATGTCATCTGCAAACAGGGACAGTTTAACTTCTTCCTTGCCAATCTGGGTGCCTTTTATTTCTTTGTGTGGTCTGATTGCGGTGGCTAGGACCCCCAGTACTATGTGGAATAAAAGTGGGGAGAGTGGGCATCCTTGTCTTGTTCCCGATCTTAAAGGAAAGGCCTCCAGCTTCTTGCTGTTAGGTATGATGTTGGCTGTGGGCTTGTCATCTGTGGCCTCTATTATGTTGAGGTGCTTGCCCTCCATACCCATTTTGTTTAGAGTTTTTTCATGAGTGGATGTTGAATTCCGTTGAATGCTTTTTCAGCGTCTATGGAGATGATCATGTGGTTTTTGTCCTTTCTGTTGATGTGGTGGATGATGTTGATGGATTTTCAAATATTGTGCCATCCTTGCATTCCTGGAATAAATCCTACTTGATCATGATAGATGATCTTTTTGATGTATTTTTGAATTTGGTTTGCTAATATTTTGTTGAGTATTTTGGCATCTATATTCATCAGGGATATTAGTCTGTAATTTTCTTTTCTGTAGTGTCTTAGCCTGGTTTTGGTTTGAGGGTGATTCTGGCCTCATAGAATGAGTTTGAAAGTATTCCCTCCTCTTCTACTTTTTGGAAAACTTTAAGGAGGATGGGTATTAGGTCTTCACTAAATGTTTGATAAAATTCAGTGGTGAAGCCATCTGGTCCAGGGGTTTTGTTCTTAGGTAGTTTTTTAAAATTACCAATTCAATGTCTTGCTGGTAATTGGCTGTTCAGATTTTCTATTTCTTCCTTGGTGAGCCTTGGAAGATTGTATTTTTCTTGAAAGTCGTTGTTTCCTGCCTCTCGGCTGCAGTGCGTGTCTCCACTGCCAGAGCCAGTGGGCCGAGCATGCAGGCACAAGCCTCTGTGCTTTGTGCTTCTAGCTGCCATAGGCGGGGTCTCCGTCTGGCTGGCCTGGCTCAAGGGCAGGGGCAGGCGGTTTGCAAGCTGGTGCTGACTGGAAGGAAGGTGCAGCAGGCTGCGTATCATGGTGGGGGGCCTTGGAGCTGCATAGCCAGCACCTGAAGCTCCTAAAAGTTCCCAACCTGCTGGGCAGAGTGCCCCCAGACAATTTTGTCCACTTGTCCTTTCTCCTGAGCAGCAGGTTCTGTACGATCTTTGCCCCTTAGCAGTCTTCTCACTGTTGGGAAGTCTCTCAGACTGCCTGCCTTTCTTTTGTCCCAGAGCAGCCAAATGTGGATCCGTGTTTTCCACAAGCAGCTGGAATCTCATTCTCTCCAAGTATTCTACCTGTCTTAGCTTTCCAACCCCATTAATCTCCAGAGCACCATGCAGTGTATGTTCCTGCTCCCAGAGCAGATCTCTAGGGCTGGGTGTTCAGCAGTCCCAGGCCTCCACCCCCTCCCTGCTCCGTTTCTCTTCCTCCTGCCAGTGTGCAGGGGTGGGGGAAGGGCTTGGGTCCTGCTGGGCCACAGCTTTGGTACATTACCCTGTTCCATCAGGTCTGTTCTGTACTGTTCTTGAGGTGTATGAAGTCTGGGGCAGCTTTCTTTCCTGTTGCTCTTTTAGGATTAGTTGTATTAACTGTATTTTTGTATTATATGTGGTTTTGGGAGGAGGCCTCTGTCTCACCTCTCCTGCCGCCATCTTTGTGTCTGTGACTTTTTACAAATTAATTTCCCTGGGTCTGAATTTTCTTATCTGTAAAATGGGAGATAAAAACAGAATGTCAGTGACTTGGTTGCATGATCAGGGGCTATTATGTAAACTATGATATTTATATTATTTTTCATTCTGAAAGCAGTTAATATAGGATAATCACATTTTTCCAAATGGGGGGAAAATTTCCCTAATGGAGATGAGATGCATACCCATTATCCCATTTTTTTAACTGAAGTATTTTCATATAAGTATCTTTACATCTAATTTCTGTCTGTGGGCACGCACTCTGTAGTGTGCACCAAGTTTGTGCCATTGTTGCTTTTCATTACATCACAAGCAGTTTTCCGTGTGGCTGCCGCGCCGTCCTAGTTGCAGTTCTTGGAGGCCCCATACTTCAGTTGCCCTGAACGCTGTCTTTGGGTAAATGATGCTGCTGCCTTTTTTTTTCCCCCCAGTGTAAATGATGTCACAGTAAGCACATTTCTGAAGATAAACATCTTTGTTTTGAGTTATTCCTCAGCTTAAAGACCCATATGTGGTATTAGTGCATCCAGGAATACTTAGGTCTGATATTTATTAAGGATCTCTATTAAGTATTTTTTGAACACTATTAAAGATGAATCTACTCTTTATTCTAGACTTGCCCTATTTAAGCTTTAAGTAGACCTTCTGCTTTGGGGTTCCCTTCATAGATAACTTCCCTTCTTCCTTTGGCCTTGAACATCCTTGTGAGTTAGAAATTAGAAATTTCTGTGTCACAGTTGAAGTTCTTAAAAGGTGGAGTCCTGGTTTTGCCGCTGTTAAATACTGGTGGTTCGCCTCATTTCTGGCCTTGTAGTGGTGCCTCAATGATAGACATTCAAAACTGTCGGACTGTTGATAGCTGGTTGCTTGATCAAATGGGCATTACTTGGAGAGTGGAGCTGGGGTTGGCTGGCCTTGGCCTGGGTCTCAGGGAGTGATGAAGCTACGAAGATAAGCAGAGGGATCTTGATGAGGTTGCTTTTATGCCTGCAAGTTTTGATTTTTCCCCTCTCTTTTTGTCAGGAGGCCAAAAAGAAGTATGACAAAGAGACAGAGAAGTATTGTGGAATCCTAGAAAAACACTTGAACCTGTCTTCCAAAAAGAAAGAATCTCAGCTGCAGGAGGTAAGAGACTTGTAATTTTTACATAGTGCTATGAATATATGCTGGTTGCTCTTTGCCAGAAAATCCTAGGGTTGGAGGAGGTCTCGGAAACCAGGAGCTGCCCGGTGACCCCTCATCTGATGGCTGATGCCTGGACTGCCTTCGTGTCTTCCCACACAGCACGCCCTTTGTGGCTGTGCGGCCTGCCAACAGCAGAGTGACATCCTGCTGGTTCAGATCACCCCGCTCCTTGTTGGGCAGATCTAATCACTAGAATGTGCTTTTTCCTTTCAAACTCAGATCTGTTTTCCTGTTTCTTTCACCCTTGACCTTGATTCTGCACTCTGTTACCTTTTGACTTCCTGCCTTGTATCAGTGATTTGAAATGTTAGCATCTGAAACACTTCAGTCATCCTTCCTTAATGCTAATATTTTTATTATTCTTTCAACCAGTACTTGACATTAGTCTTTTTATTTACTTTTTTAAGCAGCATTTTATTGTCACTTTATGGTTTGTGCTTTTGTAACCTTGTTGCAAAAAAGTAAATTCTCTGACCTGCCCTCGTCTTCTTAGACTTGCCAGGGGCTCTTATTAAGAATAGTTCACTTGGAAAGAAAAGTCCGCTTTGCATTCATGGAGCTATAACCATTTTTTTATTTAGTTCACAAAGATTTGCAAGGCGAAGGAGTTCATGTTTCTCGGAGACAGCAGTTTCCTAGTGAAACTCCAAATTTGGCTACAGAAATACCATTTTTTTTTTTTTTAACTCTTAACAATTTTCTTGACTTTTCTTAGGTATGTGGAGGCTATGTAGACTTTCAAGTTAGCCCTCATTCTTAAATTTCCTTTCTTTTTGACCAAATGCCATGCCAGTACTTCTGTCAGGTAAAAGTCCATGCAAACATGGGTCAAAAGTTGAAAAGCAAAGATAACTCAGGAGATGGTGGAGGCTACTCCCCTCCCACCCAGCACTTGTTACACATCCTCAGTTCGGAATGTGTGTGCTCGGGACTCTTTGCTTTGAAATGGGGCTTTAAAGCCATTGTTTGAGTGATGAGGACACAACAAGTCCAACAACAGGTGTTTGTAGTGGGCTTCGTGGATCATTTCTTGGCCAGCCACCCAACAGCAAGTGAGTACTTGGTGTGTGCTGTACAGAGTGGAAAACGCTAACCTATACTTGAAGCTCCCGTGCCTGAGGAGGGAAAAAGAAGCAAACACATGGATGGCGGGGTTCTTGGTTCACGGAGTCGAAGAATGAATTTTGCAAATGCTCAAAGTAGGAGAGCAAGGGAGAGACTTTTATTTAGAGATAAAGTGAGAGGACAGAGCTTCTGGCTCACGCCAGGAGGGGACAAAGAGAGTCCGTGGTCCTGCGCTGTGCAGGGGCTTTGTAATGCGATGAAGGGCTAGGGGTGTGGACCTGCCAAGTGGTCCTAGAATGTTCATCCTTGAGACATCAAACCTCTTTTCTCATCAGTCTTCCAGATAATTCTGCAAAATTAACAAAAGAAATTTACTGCAGATTTCTTTCCCAGAATTGCAGCTTTTTGGTCTGGGAGCATATCAGTCATCAATCAAGGCTGCCAGCCGTGCCCTCAAGGCAGGCCGAGCCATAGTCTGTTTGCTAAGGAGTCCACAAGGCAGTCGAAGAGGGACTCTTTCTCGCTTCTACTATGTCGTTTATGGGTGGGCTTGCTTGCCATTATGAATTGCCCGGGTTGCAAATCACCTGACCAGGTCTACAGGAGGAAGAACAGCGCGCAGGCCTGGGCCTTTTCGCATGGGAAAGTGAATCTTACACATGATCACAAACGATTAGCATAACAAAACACATGGGCTACTTTCCTCTGTTTGGGGAATATTAACCGATCTCACTGACCGAAGACTCTAGAGCTTAATGTTTAAACACGGAATTTTGGCAGGGGGTTTCCTTGCATATTACATTGCTCTGACTGTACTTACCTTGCCTTGCCTTTTCCGGGGGCCCTCACCCTACTCTGTCCAAACCCACGGTCCCTGTCTCAACATGAGGAGGTGATTCTTAAACTAGCAAAGCTACTCAGACAAAGCTTGTCAAATATGATTGAGAAGGCTAAGGAAATGCTTATTTTCATTGGATGGTAGATAAAAGGCCATTCCCAACTCTGCATGGGGATGTGGCACTAGAAGATACCCAGGGATATGCGTTGTCATGATAAATATGTAATGCCATTTAGGATCTGTTCTGACCCCTGACTTTTTTGGGTATCATTTGGCATTTAGGGTTTGGAAAGTATATTCAAGGGAAGTCTTTCTGGCTGCAGCTCACAATGGCCATATCTGGCCAGCTGTGCAGTGTCTAAGCAGGTGTGTGTGATTGCTCCAGCACCTTCTGTATCGAGAGGCCCGCTGTACGGTTGTTATCCAGAGTGAGGGCGCTTCACCTCCAGGCCTGTTCTCTCCTTGCCTAGGTACTGCTGGGATGCGTGCAACGTGTTCTTTTAGGGCCATGCTATATCATCACCCCTGAGAAGAGACAGACAAGGTAGGGACCAGAACACTGGCTGGCAAAGAGATACCTTATCTCAAGGCTGCTCTGTCATGTGTTCACTGCATGACCTGGGACAGGTACTCATCTCTCTGAGCTTTCAGTTCCTTTGTTTGTAAAAAACACAAGATACCTGTCCTGCCTACTTCATATATAAGAATGCAAATCATAGCTGCCCCACAGATATTAAAGTAGTATCTCTGTGACTGTCCTGTTCCTCCCATCCTCTCCTTCCAAATGGGATGATATTCTCCCCAACTGCCCTAGTCTGCTGGGCTGCCGTAACAGAATGCCGTAGATTGGGTGGTGGATAAGCAACAGACATTTATTTCATGGTTCCAGAGGTTAGACAGCCCAAGGTGAGGGCACTGGCAGATGCGGTGTCTGCTGGGGCCTGCTTCTGGTCTGTAGACAGCAAACTTCTCTCTACTGATCTGGGATTAGAGGGGAAAGAACTGTGTGGGTCTCCTTTATAAGGGAACTAATCCCATTCATGAGGGCTCCACCCTCATGGCCATATCACCTCCCAAAGGCCCGGCTCCCAAATGCTGTCACACTGGGATTAGTTTTCAACAGGCACATTTGAGGATTGGGGGCACATTCAGTTTGTAATAGCACTGACTCTGCCCCTTGTGTATCTCAGGGGACGCCTTTCCATTACGCTCTTCTGTGACAGTGCCTCATGTTCTTTTCTTCAACCAGTCACACTTTGTAAATCCTTTGAGGGCAAGGCGAGGCCGTAGGTCTTTCTTGCAAGGCCTGGTCTGTTCTCAAGCACTGCTTTTTAGTTGTACTTGAGCTGAATTAAATTGAATACAAATCTCTTAAGAACAAGAAGGATGATGATTTTACTAACAGCGGTGATAATAGAAAATATTTACTGAATGCTTATGTTTGTACCAGGTAGTGTGTTAAGCACTGTCAATGGCATCTTCTCGAATCCTTACAGCCACACTGTGCGGGATGGTGTATACCCTCTAGTTCACATGTGAGGAGACCGGGACTCAAAGAGGTTAAGTGGCCTGCCCACAGCTAGTCAGTGAGGACTGGAACCCTGGCTTCTGACTGGGAGCACTTTCCCTTAACTCTGGAAGCTCTTCTACTTCAGTCCATCTCAGGAGGGAGGGATTGTTACTCAGTGGCACTGTCAGGCAAATAGAATTGGGCTGGGAAGGGACCTTGTTGATTTTCTGGTTGGACCTCCTGGAATCACATATGAAGGAGCAAGTTCCTTGCAGCAGTCAAGTGATCTGCTCAAGGTCCTCCAGCTACTTAGTGGTGATTATCTTCCCCATTGATTAAAAAAATCAACTTTTAGGGACATTATTAAATGTCTTGTATGCCTTTAATCTGCTTTATTTGATCATCCAGAATTGTTCCCTGATTTCAGGTCTCCGAACTGAGTATTTTGAAATTCTAGCCCATCCTTAGATCCTGGTGGGTGAAATTATGGGTCATTGATGTGGAGTGACATTGCCATCTAGTGGATGGTTGTTTTTTTAAATCGATGTATTCTTAAAAGACTAAAAAGCTTGCTTTAAAGGTTTCTGCAAAAGTCAGTTCAGGCATTGGGTATATTCTGGGGAGTGAAATGAACCATTGGCTTTCATGGATCTTATAGGAGAATGTCTCTTTTCTAAGAGGCACAGAATGTTGGTTGGTGGGTCGCAGACAAGCTGGTAGACTTACAGCTCTTCAAGTAACAGGCAGGGAAACTGTCTCAAGTGGCCTGTTGGGTGGGTTGGTGTAACTCTGGGGAGAGGAAATCCCAGGACAAGATACCTCTAAAACCTAAATCAGTCAAAGGGAGAAATAAAGTTTAAAACCTGTTTATTGCTTGCAAATTGCAGTCTCGGGCCATCTCTTTCCTGCTGCAGCAGAAGCAAGCAAGACCTCCCCCTAAATGTCTCAGGTTAAGATAAGCCCTCAGTAATTACCCACTGATATGGAAATGAACTACTACTCTCCACCCTTGAGGAATGCCTGTTGATATGCAGATACACTTAAAGCCAGGCAAGATATTCTGGAAATATTACAATTTCACCCATGGTTGGAATCCTGGCTTATGATTTTATTGCAGGGGGAGTCTAAAAATGTGACAAATTCTATGGCCCAGATGAGCTGGAATGCTGGCAGGAGAAACATACCCTTCCATTTGGGATTTTTCTTCCTTTTCTCTTGGAAGTGCATTGAATTATACGTTTCTTCCGAGTGCTGGGTCACTGATGTCCACGGAGAGATCATTCCTCAAAGATCTATTGAATGCTTACTATGGGCCAGGCACTGTTATGGGAACTGTGATAGAAAAGTGAAAAATGAGAGAAGGTCTTTGCTGTCATTGACTTTATACTCCAGTAGGCAGTGCATCAGAAAAGAAGGGAATAAAAAATGATTTCACATAATAATAAGGAAATAAATTTGTAGAGACTCCCTGGGGTGTAACCCATCTTATCTGTCTAAAAGACTGTGGTCAGTGAAGGCTTCTCTAAACAGGTAACATTTGAATCACAAATGGAAGGATGAGAAAGAAAGTGGAAAGCCAGGACAGTGTTCCTTAAATTGTGCATGTCATACAATCTGAACACTGGATCATGAGATAGAGGAGGCTAGGACAGAAAGAAAACTGTGAGTGTACTGCCCTTCATCACAAATGTATGTTGATGGGTCATAATGCTGTCTTGCCAATGGGTTTCAGCCTTGGGCAAGTTCACTATGGATTCAATGAGACCGAAGAATGACAATGAAATGTTTTTGGGTGAAAGGGTTTATGCCCAGCTTTATTCTCACAGTGGCTGGTCAATCACTGGAATCCTGTCCACTCAGAGCAAGTCTGCAGGCCTCTCTGCCTGCACAGCCATCTCAGTCCCTGTCCTTGGTGCTGCCACCACTCCAGTCTCTGCTCTCCTGCAGCTGTGCCACCGTGTTGCCCAGAGCACTGAGTGGAGCTTTTGATATAAAGTCAATAACAACGTATTGCCCACATGTGTGCAGTGAGCAAGCTGCCCAGGTCAGGTGAGAATCCTGGACATAGGAACCTTCACTTTATCCACAGATGCAAAAGGCGTTTCTTACTGCACATTGAAGTTTTAAACTGAATCTTTATCTAGGAGAAGAGGCTGTTAGGCAGAAGGAATACCAAGTCGGCTTGCATGACAAGAGTGGGCATGGAGTGTTAGAGGGCAGGAGGAGGTCTGAGTAGCTGGAGCACAGTGGGAATGGGTTCAGGCAGGGGGTCGGGTGGTCATGGAGGGTCTTGCAGATCATGGTAGAGGCCAGGGGAGGGCACTGAAGGGGTTTTAAGGACATCTGATTTAGATTTGAAAAAAGTATCCTGGCTGCTTGGTGCCGCCTGGGTTTGGGAATGAGGGAGAGAATGAAAGCAGAGAGACTAGTAAGGAGAGAGGGTAAGCACCCAGAGACATGTGGCTTGGGGGGAGCAGGGATTGGTGCTCACCTGTTCTGACGTGCCTGCTAATAATAACCCAGCGTGCATAGTACACTTTCTGATCTTCAAATTGTTCACATTTTTTAGCTCCTTGTGGATAAAATGAAGGTTCCTGTGGCCAGGATTCTCACCTGGCCCTGGCTGACTAGCTCACTACATGTGTGTGGGCAATGTGTTGTTATTGACTCTGTATAAGAGCCCTGCCCAGTGCCCTGGGCGACACGGTGGCACGGCTATAAGGCTGCAGGAGAGCAGAGCAGAGACTGGAGTGGTGGCAGTGCCCGGGACAGGCCCAGAGGCAGAGACAGGCTTGCTGCAGGCAGACTCACTCTGAGTGAACGGGATTTTAGTGATTGACATGCCACCATGAAAATAAAGTTGGGTATAAACCCTTTCATCCCAAGAAAGTTCCATTGTTATTTTTCAGTCTCATTGAATCCATAGTGAACTTGCCTGGGGCTGAAACCCATTGGCAAGGCACCCTTCATTTTGGTTTTATTTAGCAGTTAGCTTCTGTGTTATTAATATTTAAATTGTCCTGGAAAGAAGTTGCTAGCAGGACACTTGAATGAATTCTTTTGGGCTGTTCCATAGTGCTTTGCACTTCCCCAGTCTATAATCTCCAGTTTATTTACATGATTGTTTGGTATCTCTTTTCTTCACTATGATGTGGGCTTCCTGATGGCTGAATGAATGAATGAATGAATGATGTGCCAACTCCTTAAGATGTCAGGGTGGCAATACCGTTTTTGGTATAATGGGAGGAAAGATATGTCCCACGTTTCTTCTGCAGGCATCTTGAGAAAAGTAACACCAGAAACATTTATTTGTAAGGTATGCTATAGAATGGTTTCTAACTACTTGATTTCTAAAGAAAACTATTTTGTTTCTTACTAATGTGATATTCATTTGTATTTTAAAAAATGCGCTTTTGCGTTTTGGCACTGAAATATGCTTTCAGGGTAATTCCCTGCTTTGAAAGAAGTTGACACAGCCACACTGCAGACAGGTGAAGAGCTTTGTAGTGTAGTGACAGGGAGGCACTCACCAGCATGGGATCTTGCTGCTCTGCAGCACTCCTTTTCTCCCTGGATCCTAGGTGCCAGCTTAGTGGTTTAAGTATACTCACGTGTGGGCCTTTCCAGGCCCCCCCCCCCACGTGCATGGAGGGCAGAGTGAGGTTCAGAGGGAGCAGTGTAATCCTCTGCGTGGGATGAGCTGACAGTTTGTCCTTTTCGCGAAGGAAGTATGTGGGACTCCCGTGAAAATATGTGGGACTTCCTGAGGTCCCGTGCTCTCTCATGCTAATCTGGTTCATTAGGAAGATGGGATGAAGAGAGCGCTGCAGATTCTCTCTTTTTCCTCTTTAAAATTTGTCTTTTGTGGAACCCAGGTCCGCTCCAGGGTGCGGGAGGAGGTATAGCCTAGTGGACCCGGGATGAGCTGCCAGGACAGAAACCCCAGCTCTGCCCCCAGGTACCAGCTGCTCAGGTTCCTTAATGTCAACAGACTTCATTTTCCTCCTGTAACTTAGAGGTAAAGACTATAACTTCTTTTTAGTAATTTAATGAGGATTGAATAAGTAAAAATAAGGATTGAATGAGGTAATGTGTGTACACCTACAGGCATGGTGCCTGCCAGGAAGTTAAGTGCTCAATTAACCATTATCATTATTCTTCTGTTTCACGCTGTTTGATTTATTTTTTGAAACTATCTGCAGACAGTTTTTCCTGGCCTGCTTACTGAATGTTCTCCCTGGGTAGTGACTTGGATCTTCTCTTGAATCCCGTCTTGTTTGTAGGCAGACAGCCAAGTGGACTTGGTCCGGCAGCATTTCTATGAAGTATCCCTGGAGTATGTCTTCAAGGTGCAGGAAGTCCAAGAGAGAAAGATGTTCGAGTTCGTGGAGCCTGTGAGTAGAAGCTCAGGTTTAATGGTGTACCCGCGCCTCATCCTCACCCCTCCATCCCACCTCCCTGGGTACAGATGCTATAAGTTGTTGATGAGGAGGTGAGCCAGCACAGTGCTGGGCCTCCTGTGAGGTTCCACTGTGTTTCAGTCTGGTGGCCCCGGGTTCTCCCGGTAGCTGTTCTGAGCAAGTGCAGAGACGGCTGGGCACACGCAGCGGGAGCTGCCTCCTTTCTCGCCTGCGGTGTGTGTTTGGCTTGCAGGTGGAAGCTGTGGGCGCAGGGCAGGGGAGTTTTCATCTTGCTTGCCAGACAGCAGTGGTTACACCTTCACCGTCCTGCCCTCACCCACTTCCTCTGTCCCTCAGCCCAAAGGTAGTAGCCCAAGGAAATGGAATGTACATGATGCCCTTTCCTTTTGCCTTCTGAGTTCCAAGCCCCTCTTCACTCCATTCATGCATTAAAAGACTCCTTATAAACTGATTTTTCACTGTAGGTTTGTCATAACCAAGTGGCACAGTGAGTCTGGTGGGGGGACCGTGATGGGGTCTGGTTTTGGTCAGTGAGTCTCGTGGGGTATGAAAGGGTGCCGTGCGGGAGCGAGTCTGCCTGTAGCTGAGGCTGCCACAGCAGCTTGTGGCTTCATGCCACCGTCCCCCTTCCCCCCCACTGGACCACCAGTGTCCAGAATCCGCAGCAGGAAGCCTTCATGGACACACCGTGAGGGCATAGGGGCCTCAGCTGAGAACTCTTGCATACCTTGCATTTTTTAGCCAGAATGCAGCCTCCGATTTAGACCCAAGCTTGGGGCCTCTATATCAATAAGATTTTTATCTACTTAGATTTAAGAAAGGATGATTTTCTTAAGCAAATAAGAATAGAGCTCTAAGGAATGGAAAGAAAATGAACACTCTTTTCAGTAAAGATGTTTTGTGCCCATTTCTAATTTATAAACTTTTGGAGTGCTTTTAGACATGTAAGACTTGTTAACAGTTTTCTTAGGACTCCGGCTGGCTGTGGACTCTGATGTTTACAGCTTTTACTGTACTGGAGCTATGATCTTGGGATTCTACTCCAGCCACTTCATTTGGCAAATTCTTTAAAGTCCTCAATTACCTCAGTCTTCTTAATTGACTAGTGGAAACTTCAGAGCCAACTTCCTGGCCAGCAGTGGTCTCTGTCCCAGTCTAGGTCAAAGTCCCCATCTTTCTGCAGCATCCTTGAAGTGGGAGAAACCATCGGTCAGAAGGAAGCCAGTGGATTTCTCTGTTTGGGGCACAGAGGTATTAAAGCTAGTCTTTCAGAAGTTTACTGAAGACTGTTTCCTGTGGTCAGGGCAGGAATTAAAATGCTGTCATAGTATTGGCCTTTGGCATTTGTACTTGCTTTAACTGGAATATCTAGAGGAAAAAAAAACCCAATGTGGTTCTAACCATCTTATGTACACATTTGTTATATACATTTATTGATATTATTCTATAACTACCTGATTTTGATGAGTTGCATTTTTCTTGGCTTATCCTACTTTTCTGAGGTGAGTTTTTTTGTTGTTCATTTGATCTCTCAGTAGGTGTTCCTAGTGAGTCAGGTATTGTATCTGTTGATGGGTAACAAATAAAACCTCCTACAACAATAGACATCTGTTTCTCACACATCTGTGGGGTCCATCCGATCTAGGCTGGGTTCGAATGGCTGACTGCAATCTAGGGGGGCCTTCCTCCTCTTCCTCCCTTTATTTTTCTCTTCTTTTCCTCCCCTTCCTCTTTCTTTTTTTCTTTCTTTCATTCATTTCTTCATTCATTCATGTATTCATTTCTTCATTCATTCATTCGCTTTAAAAGGAATCTATAAGGATTTGCCCTTCTATTTCCTGGCATTCTGTTACGTATCGGTGCCTTGAGCTTTTGAGAGGCAATATAGCATCATTGTTAAAGGCTCTAGAGCCGAACTACCTGGATTTAAATCTCAGCTCAGCCCTTCTCTAGCTGTGTGTTCTTGGGGAAGTTATTTATTTCTCTGAGCTTCAGCCTCCTCATCTGCAAAATGGATGTGATACTACCTACCATAAAAAAAGTTAGGATTAACTGAGTTTATCCATGTGAGATGCTGAGACTAGAGGTAAAAACTAATTAGCACTCAGTTATTATATAATTATTATATAATTGCTAAGTAGCACCCAGTTAACATTCTTTTTTATTCTGAGGTGGAGGAATATATCAGCATTGGCCTCCAGGGTCTCCTCAAATAAGCCAAATGAGTCAAGCCAATATTAACAGGGCCTACCTGTTTTAATCTAAAAGCACTTATTGACTGAATACTGCAGGAAATGCTGAAGCCCCAGCTGCTGTGTCCGAATTGCTCACAGCCTCACTGGGGAGGCAGAACGTGCAGAGATGTAGTCAGGGTAGCCAGCGTTGCAGGACCAGGATGGATGACGGGCGGACGTGCCCGAGGGATTTGAAGAGTAGAAAACCACTGAGGGTTGCAGATGTTTTTCAGGATGTATATAGCGAGGCACCTGGAAAACTAATGAGAAGAGTTTCTGGTCTCACGTTAGAATGAAGAGAAGGCGATAGGAACCAGCCCAGAGTTAAATGAGTCCGGTGAGAGGCTGGGCATAGGATCCAGATACTTAACCTTCCGTGTATAGAAGTTCTCATTTCTGAACACACCAGCTTGGAGGCAAGTTGGTGGCTTCAGGAGCTGCGGATAGGGAGAAAGATTTCATACAGTGAAACCCTGCTGACTAGATCAGTGCTTCTCTAAGCCTTAGAATACAAATTCTCAGGCTCTATCCCAGACCTGAAAATTGGGGGGTGGGCAGAAAACTGTATTTTAGTAACTCCAGGTGATTCTGTTGCAGATTAAAGTTTGAACCACTGGCCTAGACTGACCTTGAAATGACACTTAGTGATATTAGCTGAAGCTGTCAGGTACTGATAAGCGCTCTGCCTACATTATATCATCCAGTCATTACAGTATCTTGAGGATGGGCACTGTTTATGTATTTGTTTTCAGATGGAGAAGTGGAAGCATTTTTATTTACTTCTCCAAGGTCACATCTAGTAAGAGGTGGAACTAGAATGGTCTGGTTCTTAATCTCTAGGAAACAGCGTTTTATGGGCTAGAGGTGGAAAGGAAACAAGCAAGAAATGTGTTGAAATTGCTGGGGTGCCTGGCGTGGCTATTAATATTTTGAGTTGGTTGTGGTCAAGAGAATCTTCCAGCCATTCAAGGAACCTTCATGCACATTGACTGTGTTCATTTGTTTCTTAGAAAGTAACTTCAGGTAATAGCATGTTACTGACCTTCAGAAAAAGAAATGAAATTTTTGTGTTCCAGAGAATTAAAATCAGACTTCTAAGATCTAAACCGTACGTTTTTTTGTGCCCTGGAAGCCCTTATTTTCTTGTTGAGGTACTAAATGTTCTGGAGATTTGAATTGCAGATAATGACATACTGGCTTCATGAAGGTGAAGCCACGTTCTGTCTGTTCCCTGAGTTTTCGTAATTGAAGGTTACCTGGGGCTCCAGAGAACTCACTCTCCACATTCAACAGGCACTGCGTCCTCTGACTTTCACCTCCTGACTGTGTGTTGGTGCGCTGCCTGCCTGTTCTTTCTCAGGCTTCTGCCCCCTTGCAAGTCTTCATTCTTTCCCTCGATCTGTTGTCTCCTGTGCTGGGCCTCCCCCTTTTCCAGTGTGGCCTGGTCCCTGTCACCGCCATGTATCCTCTGCCACATCAGCCCGTTGCTCTCTCTCACCGAACAGCTGCTGGTACTCCCGTACTAAGCCTGTTCGTAGATGATCTGGGTCTTTATCAGGGCCCGGGACATAGTAGGCAGCGTTATGATCCTCCGGTAAGAGATGGGTTAAAGGGCGTCACCTGGCCTGTGTTGCCCAGCTTTTCATCACTCGACTATCTGCTCTTCTCCTGGTCACGTGAATGGATGATTCTCCACTGCTGTATTCATTTACTAGGGCTCCTCTAACAAAGTACTGCACACTGGATGTGTGAGGACCACAGAAATATGTCGCCTCATAGTTGCAGAGCCTAGGAGCCCAGGAACAGGGTGTCAGCAGGGCCGTGCTTCCTCTGAAATCCGGAGGGAAACTGTCCTCCCTTTCTCGTTAGCCTCTGGGGATTTGCCGGCCCTACTGGGCGCTCCTTGCTTCATCCGTGCTTCACTCCTATCCTCTGTCTTCGCGTGGTTGTCTTCCCTCTGGGTGTTTCTCCATGTCCAAATTTCTCCTTTTTTATAAGGACACTAGTCATTTTAGATTAGGGCCTAATGGCCTCGTTTTAACTTGATTACCTTTGTAAAGTCCCTATTTCCAAATAAAATTGCATTCTGAGCTACTGGGGATTAGGACCTAAACATTTTTGGGGACAGGGTGGAGACACAGTTCAACCCTTAACAGGGTTGTAGCTCTGTTGTGTGAATGAAACAACTTAAATGTATCAGGTAGTTCAGAATGATGCAGACAGCACTAAATTAAGCAGTTACCTTTTTGGGTTTTTAAAGAATGAATTATATCTGTGTTGTCAGCTAGGAAACTGGAATAGGTTTTTCTTGCAGTTACACTTTTGGGAAAACAAGGATGAGGAAGAAGGCAGAGGGAGGTGGGGAGGGTCTGTCCTTGGTATTTCTTTTTGTTCTGCTGTGATTTTTGTGTCCCTGACTATTCAGGGAGGAGCCTGGGTGGCCGTGCTGACTTACCTGATAACCAAGGGGAGGTGACAGCAAGCACATCCCCTGTGTGTGTGGGCAGTGGCATTTCTCTGAGGCAGACAGATGCTTCCACTCCCGGAGTCCTTCTGTGGGCCTCATCCCGTCCACTGAGGAGTGACCTTCATTTCCCACAGGGACAGGTTCATGCAGTGTGTGGAGATTGGAAGGCAGGAGGTGAGGGAGGGCAGGAAAGGTGATTTGAGGGTAAAAGGAAGGGAAGTGGGCCAAAGATAATAATATCTAAGGAATAGTTTCCCATGATAAGAAAAATGAACATCTAGGCATGATACCAAAGAAAGTAAAGACCAAAATAAATATTAGTAACTGCTTTGGAGCCTTTGGAACACTCTTGTGCATGCCTGGGTGGTACCTCAGTGAGCTGTCTGAGAATGTTTAATTGCCCTGGGCAACAGACTTTACAGGAAGATAAATCTGAGTTGATAGGAGGAATGGCCTTAGGATCAGCTGCTTATCTTCTGTGTTATTCTCCAGAAGAGGATGGCTTGGTGCTTCGGAGAAGTGCTGGGGCATAAGGTTCAAGGACAACAAGGAGGGAAGAGATAAGAATAATTTTCACTGTGAACACTGATACTAGGTTTGGCATGAGAGCCTCTGCTCTATTACTGGAGCCATCTAGAAGGAAAAACATGAGCTTTCATCTCATGTAGAGTAAATCTGAACGCTTTGGTTTTCTTTGAAGAGAAGAGTTGATTAGTCTTTGGTGATTCTGTGCAGCTTACTACCCATTCATTGATTTATGTTAGTAATCTATATATGGGGCTACTAGATGTTTTCATGACCAAGGGACTATGCAGTGCCCTCTTCTCCACCTCCCGTGAGGACAGGAGGATCTAAGCAGGTGGATGCTCTGGGGATAACAGCAGCAGAAGTCAAGGTGCCGTATTGTTATAAGCTGGATTTTGTCTTCCTTCTCAGTACAGGGCTCTTTGGTACGCTGGGCTGGGCACGGGGCTTAGCCCGGACTGTTTCCCCTCTAGGCAGAGTAGCACACACCTCGGTGCTCACCACTCCTGCCACAAGCAAGGTGGGAGAGTAGTGGGGGTGGTATGAGTCCCTTTCACCAACTCAGAAAAGGAGAGTTTGGTGAAAAAAAGTGAGATTATGTTTAATAAGTAAAGACATGTCCATTTAGGGACTAGAAGATTAAACACAACAATATGAAGTGAAGCAACCATGTCTTGCTGTAGTATGTGTAGAGGCAGGTCTGGGAGGTCAGAGTGGACCACTCAGAAAATGTGAGTTGGCATTGAGAAGTCCAGATCAGAGGGGGGATGGTCCCCAAGGGCAGTAGACCTGAGCTCTGGCTCTTCCAGACCTTGTTCAGACTTTGATAACGACCCTTTCTTCAGTCGGCAGTCAAGGGGTGCGGCTGTTGGGAAGGGGCAGGAGAGCCCGGCAGTGGGTTCACACACAGGCTCTGAGAGGAGAGCGCGGGGAGGCTGCCCGGCCTGGGGGGGCGGAGGCTGGCTGCGCTCAGGCGGGCGTTAGGGGGCCGAAGGGCCCGAAGTCGGGCGGCGAGACTTACGGGGAACAGAAGTTTTCGCTCTTCACTGGACAAGACTAAATGATGAGTGGGCTTATTACCTTTAGTCAGAGGGGATTTAAATGAGAATTTAGGGAAACTGTCGGTAACTGAAATATGGGAACATGGGACTATTTTTAATAAGGGCAGCCACATTGTTTGCTTTTATATATTTAGGGATAAAACAGAAATACACTTGAGTTGAAGTCTGACATGGGTTATTTTCTTTGATTTGATTTTGCCTGTTAGGCTGCAGACTCAAGACATAGTAGCTTCCCTTTTTGCTTTCCTGCGTGGTCATCAGCATAGCCACACCTTCTGTGTAATGACCTGACACTACACATGTTCTAGAAGGACAGTAGTTGGAGCTCTGGTCTTCAGTTTCTGAAAAAAATGATTTTCTTAGGAGGTGGTGAGGCTCACAGGGTAAGAGCTTAGTCTTGGTGCCAAGGAGACCTGGTTTCAAATCCAGCCTGCCATTTGCTGCGTGTTTGGGGGCCAGTAACTTGACCTCTCTGAATCTGTAGCTCAGTATTGAAATGGAGACAAGAGTAGTGCTTGTCTCCTGGGCGGTGAGTGATCAGTGAGCCAGGGCACGCAGCGATACAGTGCCTGGCATACGAGTAGTGCGCAGTAAGCGGCGGCCGTCGTTACTGGGGTAGCCTTCCAGCCCGAGGCTGGGACTGCAGAGACAGTCACGTGATAGCTCTGACCTGCTCGTGTGACCTCTGCCCTTCCTTCCCTACAGCTGCTGGCGTTCTTGCAAGGACTCTTCACTTTCTATCACCACGGTTATGAGCTGGCCAAGGATTTCGGCGACTTTAAGACCCAGCTGACCATCAGCATACAGAACGTGAGTGGCAAAGGGACGGCACCCTTTCCCCGGCTAAGAAAGAGGAGAAACCAAGTGTGGGTCTGGTGCAGAGAGATGGCTTGTTTGAACTGGAATGCAGATGAGGAGGATAGGTCTTGCTTGGGTTCATAGGGCAACTGGGGGCAGGCGTTTATGGTTTGGGTTCATAGGGCAACTGGGGGCAGGCGTTTATGGTTTGGGTTCATAGGGCAACTGGGGGCAGGCGTTTATGGTTTGGGTTCATAGGGCAACTGAGGGCAGGCGTTTACGGGTGCTCCATGGCTCCAGGTTAGAACATCATCCTCTTCTCCATCATTTCAAAGCACTATTTACGTTCACGGAAGTGCTACTGCTGATTGTTCTAAATCTGTAGCACCAGAGGCAGGATTTCCTTTGGCACGGAAGGCCCGGCCCAGCCCTTGCCTGGCCACTGGGGGCCTTGGAGTGTGTGTTCAGGGGTCGGGGTGGGGCGCACACGCTGGCCTCCAGCTCCAAGGATGGGCTCTTGTTCGACTCTTAATAAGGCTGACAGGAAGTCCAAGTCACTGTGATTTGTTCCAAGTCGCTTTTCCCAAATTTTAAACAGCAGGATCTTTTCATGTCCAGAATCTTGCTTGGGTCTCTAGTCAGCAGGTACCCAGCTTGAACCCCCTCTTCACTGTGTGACTGGGCCATGTTGTCTTTGTCTCTGGATCATCCTGCTGAGAAAAGAAACCCAAGCGCACCGTCATGGGTTCGCGTGGCCTTTAGAAGCCGGGAGCCCGCGCTGATGGCGCTGTGTGTCATCTTAGAGAGCAGGGGCTGGCAGGGGCTGGGACCGGCCTCCCAGAGCACGGCTTCCCCCGGGCCGGCCTTCTCAGAAGGCAGACCCAGAAGCGGGGATTCACACGGAGCAGGCTCACAGGAGCAGGGCTGGTGGCAGGGCCCTGAGGGAGCACCGCGGCTCTGGGGCCTCGGGCACTGCCCTGGGGCCCTGGAGCTGGGATGGGCCTTCAGAGAGGCCTGAACCTAAGCAAGGGGGCCAGGCTTTTGGCCCCTCCCCTTTGACCCCAGCCATGACCAGTCTTGGGGTGCAGGCTGCCCTGGGGAAAGGCCTTGAGTGAGGCCACTGCCTTTTGAGGAGGGAATCATGAGGAGGACAAGGGACATTCCCTGCAACTTGAAAAGTGGCTCCCTAGGTCCTGAAGGGAAGCTGGGCGGTGGACCACCCGAGTCAGGGTCACCCCAGGGACTTGCTTACAGTGTACACTTCTGGGTGCAGAGATAAGTTAATCTTTAGGGGTGAGGCCTGGACAGAGGCATTTTCTCCACATTCCCCAGGTGATTTGATGGGCTGCAGAGTCTGAGTCATTCTGTTGCACGACCTTCAGGCCAAGTGTACTTGAAAGTCAATGCTGGCCTGATTCCTAGATGGCTGGGTGTCCCTCGTCTGGTTTGCAGTCTGAAGACTCCATAGGTTGATGTTCTGAATTGTTCGAGCTGGAAACTGTGTTTCATTTCTTTGATTTGAATAATATTCCTTTCATTGTAGACAAGAAATCGCTTTGAGGGCACCAGGTCAGAAGTGGAATCACTGATGAAAAAGATGAAGGAGAATCCCCTCGACCACAAGACCATCAGCCCCTACACCATGGAAGGGTACCTGTACGTTCAGGAGAAACGTGAGTGCCAGCAGCCCCCCATGGCTCGGGGTGTACTCGTGCCCTGGGTACTGGCGGTGTCCAGGTGTGCCTGGCCCAGAGTAGCGTGCTGTAGGTACAGGTGTGGGGGAGTGAGAGCAGTTCAGGGTTCAGGTTCTGGGGGAAAGATGCTGTCCACAGGGTCTGCCTACCTCCAGTGATGTGCTCTGTGTTCTTCATGATTAGGAATTCCCTTGGGAACCTGGAATTCACAGAGCTCTCTCGTGGGGTTCTTTTCCTGGCATCACTCTGCTCTTGAGGTGCCTAGACCCTTAGTGTGGCTTCATATCCCATTCTCTTGGCATGGAAACCTTGGCACGGTCTTGCATATGAGACTTTATTGTCTGTCAGCAACCATGTCCTTTTGTGGACTTAATATTTAGTGATTTCATTTTCTTTTGAGCCTTGCTTCAACAAGGCCCAGACAACACGAGTTAGGCCCTTTCTCTCTTCTCTTCAGTTCCTGTTCTCCCAACACTTAAATTTCATGAACAGTGGAAATGAGCTCACTCTGACAGCCAGAAAGAAAGTCCATTGTCCTGCCAGTATGATGTCAAGGAAAGAAGTGCCAGGTGCTGTTGACCTAGAGTCTCCGGTGATGACTCAAGAGTTCTTCCCTAGGCCTGGGAACAGGCTTTGCTGTGGGCTGGGCTATGAGGCAGCGCTTCCAGACTAATTCCATGCAATGCCTGGGATAAAAGAAAGTGGATGTTTGTTTCTCCCACCCTGCTTTCTGGATTGGACACCTCACTGCTCCCAGATTTTTGCTCGTTTTGTTCCTTCGCTGCCCTGTTGATTTAGGGTTAGCTAATGTCTTACTTCTAGAAGCATCCCGATGGAACGGAACCCTTGGTTGCAGTGATTACTATTTTGTGATCACTCAGAAATTGGCGTGGGCTTACCATTGTTTCCTGGTGACACCGGGGGCAGCGGTGGCAGTAAGAGTTGGAGCCACTGGCTGTCATGAAGGTTTTATATCCCTTATTCTTGCAGTGACGAGCTTGTTGAGGCTCGTAAGGAATGGAAGCTGTTTAGTTGTGCACTTCCTGTGACTTGAATGATGATGCCTCTTTGCCCAACAAGAAGGTCTATCACAAAGTTTAAGGTCAACTTGAAAATATACATTTTTAGAACTGTAAAAATATAGTTCAGTGTCCAGTAATCTTACTTTATAAACATGGTTCACTTACATATGAAATCTGCACTCTCACATTACAGGGTACCATTTCATTGAAACTCGTCATGTGCTCTTTCCCCATTAATGTCTTGACCAGAAACACGTTTTGATTCCCTAACACAGCAGTCCAGAGCATCTTATTGGGATACAGCATTTTTTATTTGAAAGGTTTAGTACCTTATTCTAAAATAATTTGAAACTCACAGGAAAGTTGGAAGAACAGTGTAAAGTATAACCATACGACCATTACCCAGATACAAGAGTTTTCCGTTTTCCATCATTATATCATTTTCTCTTTCTGTATGGGTGTATGTATGTGTGCACATCACAGTCACAGAGACACACACACATTGTAACTTTTTCTTAACCATTGAGAACAAGTTGCATGTACCATGATCCTTTAGTGTGCATTTCTAAAAGATAAGGAGATTCTCTTATGTAACAACAATATAGTTACCACATCCAGGAAATATAACATCGATAATATATTTAAAATCTAGATGACAATCCATATCCCATTTTTGTGAGTTGTCCCAGTAATGCCCTTATAAAGCATTTTTGTTTTTCCTCCAGTATAGGATCTCATGCTGCATTTAGTTATCATGACTTTAGTCTTCTTCTATCTGTAATAGATCCTCGGCTTTTCTTTCTTTTGTGACATTGACATCTTTGAAGAAGATAGTTTGCTGCTTGTAGACAGTTTTCTTCAGTGTGGGTTTGTCTAACATTTTTTCACGGTTAGATTCAGGTTATGCATCCCTGGTCAAATTCTACATAAGTAACATTGTGTTTTTCTCTGGGTACCACATCCGGAAGGCAGGGGATGGCCATCTGTCCATCAGTGGAGATGTTAATTTTGATCACTCAGTCAAGGTATTGTTTCATTTCTCCACTGTACAGTCACTGTTTTTCTCTTGTAACTAATTAGCAGTCTGTGGAGAGAGACTTCAAGACCATATTCTTCTCCTCATCAGACTTTGCTCCCCATAGAGTTTGCATCAATGGACAATCCTTGCCTGACCTGTCTTTACTCTGATGATTGCAAAATGGTGATTTCTCAGCTCCGTGTCTCCCTCCCACTTACTCGTTGCCATTGAGTGTACTGTAGGGAAGTGACCTCCCTTTCCTCTTTCTCACTTCCTCCCTCCCCCCGCTTCTTCTTGCCTTCCATCTGTACGTCTATCCGTCCATCCATCCTTATGTTGCCATTATGGACTTAGGGTTTCCCGTTTTATTCAGTGGGCTATCCATTATTGTCCTTACTTGTTTTGATGCTCCAGTTATCTAAAGCACAGCACTTGTAGAATATTTATGTTGCACTAAGACTGGAAATTTCTTCTCTAAGCCACAACAATACATTAGATTGGTTGGTATTTTCATCTGTCCTTGATGATCCAAGGTAGACACTTTATTGTTTTTGTAAGTTTACCAAGTGGTAACCAGCACTTGGAGTGGGCAGTCGAACCCTAAAAAAATAATTATTAAATGTCTGCTAAATCTCTTTTCATGTCTTCACTTTTTTTTTTTAACCATTTCTGCTATGTGATCTTTCTAGGCATCTAAGACAAGTATTGATTGAGGTCCTTGCAGGCTAATAATGCTGAGAATGCTTCTTCCTCTACTTTGTTGCTCAAAATAAAGTAATAGGACAAACACAAGTAAAATCAGAGACTGTCAGAATTCAGCTGTTGGGCATCTCCCTCTTTCCTAATGGATAATTTTGAGGGACAACTTCTTAGATTACATTTGGGCATTTACGGACACTTCCATTCTGTGTCCCATGTTTCTGAGTTTTCCTGTCTGCTTTTCAGATCTGGAGTTCTGCTAAAGTAAAATTTAAGGGTTTAGAAGTAGGTCAGAACCCCTGTATGTCTGTGCAGAGTCGCAGTTTGGGAAGCTTGAAGCCATCACACCAGATGGGGACGGGGACAGGTGCTTTGGGAAGTCAGGGGAGAGAAGGGGAACTGCAAATGGAGCTTGATGATGGGAAAGTGGATTAATTTCCCCAGGGAACCTCTACGTCCTTATATTTTAAGACTGATTGGATGCAGCAGTTAGTGGGAAACAGTCTTCCTTGGTCCCTGGGGAAAGTCTTTGGTTGGCTCCATTTCTAGCCTGGGGGCTCAGATTTCTGCCTATTCCAGTCTGGCTAGTGTGGAGACTATATTGCCTCTGGAAGCATTTTAAGGGTGGGTGAACATTGTAGGTAATGGGTTGTGTGTTTTCCCAGCATGCAGTAGACATTGGAAATGTTTCATGGGAAACACTGTCTTGCAGGTCACTTTGGCACTTCTTGGGTGAAGCACTACTGTACGTATCAACGGGACTCCAAACAAATCACCATGGTACCATTTGACCAGAAGTCAGGAGGAAAGGGGGTAAGTTTATTTTCTGGATTTCTGCCTTGACTTGCTTGGCTAACATACAGTGATTATAATGCAGGTATAAAGTAACACCCACATGTTTCACTGTAGTTTTAAAAATTTTTATACAGTAGTTTCAAGAGGCATAGTACCACAAGCAGTAACCAAAGCAAGGTGATTATTCTTTCCTCTCAGTTATCCTAGGAACTGCAGCTAGGAAAGATTCTCATATCTCACATATGTACCATATTAAGTGTGTCAAATGTATTTAGATGCCCGAAATTCTTGGATGACCTCATCCTGTGAAACTGATTCCCGTCACTCTCACTTGATACCTAGGGGCTGCCAATTGGCAGTTTAGATGTTCCAGTGTAACAGATCACCCCAAAGTGTAGCAACTTGAAACACCACCAATCATTTTCTTGTTTCTCACAGTTTCTTTGGGTTAGGAATTCAGCAGGCATGTGATGGTTGGTTTGGGCTTATGGTTTCTCACGCAGTTCCAAGCAGATGGTGACTAGAGCTGGAACAAGGAGAGACTGAAGCAGGTCAAGGCTGGTCAGACAGAGCTCTCTTCCGTTCTCCTAATCGCCCCCTCTCCTCTCTCCTCCTCTTCCTCTTGCTCCCTTGCTGTGTCCAGTCTCAGGGCCTGTCCGTTTGGTCTGTCTGCATGGGCTAATTTGGGCTTCCTTACAGTATGTGGCCTTGGGGCAGCTGCAGCTTCCAAGAATGAGTCACGCGTCAGTGAGAGCAGAGACTGCACTGCCTTGTAGTGAGCTAGCCTGAGAAGTCACACAGGCTTCCTTTGGGCCTTGCTGGTTGAGCAGTCACAAAAGCCCACTCAAGCCCACCCAGTTTCACTGGGAGAGAGACACAAACCCTGCCCCTGTGTGGGAGGGATGTCAGAGCCACACTGCATGAAGAGCATGTGGGGTGGAGATATTCCTAGGCCGACTCTGGAACAGACAGTCCGGCCGCATGAGGCTCCGTGCGGCCACAGCTGTCGATCTTACTGTGCTCCGAAGGTTTTCTTCTTCTGGGCACACTCGCTGTAGTCTGAATGCATTTCCTTTTCAGTTGATCTGTCTTTTCTCTGTGTCTGCTTTTAATAATATCTTTTTTTTCCCCTTTGATATGCTACATTTCATTATGATGGTCCCTATGTGTGCTTTTTTTCTTTTTTTTCAATCTCTTGAGCTGGGAATTTTTGGCATTTCTGGATTTGAAGATTGGTATCTTTCAGTAAGTTTGAAAAATTCTCACCAATTATCATTTAAATTTTGTCCCTTCATATTCTTTTATCTTCTTCTGGAGACACCTAAGTATTTTTTAAAAATATATTTATATTTTTCATCTCTTTGAATCTCTGAACTCCATTCTGGCTAATTTCTCTGGTTTAAAAAATTTTTCAGCTGTGTTTAATCTGTTGCTAAATTAGTCCTCTATAAGCATTCCAACCCTGGTCCTCTCTGTGATACATTTTGTGCCACGTGTTGGGCTAGTATGTGTGTGGGCATTACAGTGTAGAGGTTAAGAGCACTGGCTTTGAAATTGGGCTTCCCGGGTCAGTAATATCAGATGCATCTGCCGTAACTGTTCACTCCTCCATCATGCAGCCCCCGTGCTCTTCACCACATCCAGTTTTTCTTCCTGGCTTTCTGTTATGTAAGCCACATACAGGAGTTTATCAGCATCTCTTTTCTTTTCCTATGTCAAAACAAAGCAAAACAAAAAAAACCAAAGCCCTTTTAATGTTTCTTGTTGAGGTGGAATAATCTCAGGGAAACAGACATGTTAAAATATGCAAACAGAGAGAAATTAGAAAGTTAGAAGGGATATTAAACTTTTATGTTTAACTGATGTCTCCTAAATTTCATGAAGTGGAAATAGTTAGCCCTTACTTTGGGCTGAGTCATAGTCCCTTTCCGACTCTTAAGTCTTTCTAGAAATCAGCTTCACTGAGTTATTCTGTCACACAGTCCTTTTTTTAGGCTTTTTTTCTTGTGCTTTCCTAAACCTTGGAAGAGGAGCTATCTTGCATTTTCTCCTCTCTTTTCTTATCACACTGGAAAGTGAAGGGCAGAGACCAGTTAGGGTGGGTGTTTGGGATTCCTAGGACTTCGGCGAATAGTAGTAAACGCCTCACTCAGTTCTTAAAAGGTTTACATGAGTTAGTGATTATAAATTTCTTGCGATAGAGCCTGACACATAACGAGTGCTACGTTAGGAGTTTGATTTATAATGATTAATTTTTCTAATAGCCCCTTATATTTATTTTATATTTTCTTAGTCCTTTTGTTGTCCTATATGATCCTGTTTGGTCTGGTTTTCCTCTTTTACAAAGGAGAAAATTGAGGTTCAGAGAGAGAAAATGATTTCTAAAAAACAGACACAGTCCCTGCCTTCTGGGAGCTTAGAGTCTAATGAGTCTAATTAGAATCTAATCTACATGATGCAGTTCATCAGCTGTGCCACAGACAGATGGGGACATGTTTTGGAGGCCTGTGACCTTGGCCAGGGAGGCTTTCCTGAAGAAGTGATGACTGAACCAAGATCACAGAAACTTGGAGTTGGGAGGCCATTTTGTGCAACCCTTATCGAACCTGCATGTTAAACCTGCTTAACACAGTGTCGACAGGAGTCAATCTACCACGGGTTGATGCTATACCATCTTGGTCTACTTGTAGTGAAGACGTTTGGCTCTAAGTACAGCATAGTTTACAAATTTTAGCTATGTGAAGCTCTTCCTGAGGTTCATGATCAACCTGACACCTTCCTATGGTCATGTGAAGATGGAATGATCACTCTTGTTTATATGGCACGTTTGTGGTGTGCTGGAGCCAAACAGGGCCCACGGTCTGGCACATCTTGATTGTTTGTGTGTCCTCAACAGGGAGAAGATGAATCAGTCACCCTCAAATCCTGCACACGGCGAAAAACAGACTCTATTGAGAAGAGGTTTTGCTTCGATGTAGAAGCGGTAGACAGGTGAGTAGCTCCCACCCTTTCCCAGGAACAGATATTACTGGATTTGGATTCGCTTTGTTCCATTCAGTCAGAGCTTTTCCATCGTCTCTGCTCCCTTTCCCTTCTCCATCCTTCTACTAATACTCAGTGTGAAATAGGCCTCAGGCCAGTTCCTGGTTGGCAAAGATTGTTTGTTTCCCCTCTTTTACAGTCAGTGCTGAGTTCCTTGTTTGGTATGTTTTATTTTAATGTTAGGGCTTCCATTCTCAGGAATGTGTATTATGTCTCTGGAGGTTGAGTAGATGTTTAAAGAAAACTGACTATTTAGCATAAGAGTATCAGCTATTTGAGATATTTTACTTTAAAATGTTTTACTTTTTTTAAATTTAATAAAGTGACTCACAAAGGATTTGGGTAAAGGAAGGATGGAAGAAGTTTTACTCAATTAAAAAAAACACAGTGTTACAGCATTTCACCTATTACTGACTGCTGTGTGTGTGCGGGGGGGGTCAGTGCTGACATTTCATGTTATTTTGTAGCAAAAGCTGTAACCTTTATTTAGGAAGTGACATTCCAGGAGGTCAGTATTGTGTGAGTCAATCATATCAGCATCTCTCTGTGGTGAGAGCACTTGCNGGGGGGGGTCAGTGCTGACATTTCATGTTATTTTGTAGCAAAAGCTGTAACCTTTATTTAGGAAGTGACATTCCAGGAGGTCAGTATTGTGTGAGTCAATCATATCAGCATCTCTCTGTGGTGAGAGCCACTTGCCCTCAGCTCCCACGGGGTGCTTGTTAGATCACCTGCCCCAGACCTACTCTGGCTTTCGGGGGTAGAGATGATTTTGAGATCGGCTTTTTGAAATAGCTCTTCAGCTGTTTTTTCCTTTCTTATAGTTGGTGCATTGAACACACTCATATCACAATAGTTTTCTCAGAGCATATAAAAACATTTGCTTTGTTAAAAACATTGTAAAAAGCACCAGCAATAATATAAAACAAAAACAAGAAAGCTCAAGCTCCTTTGCTAAGGAGCTTAATTCTTATCTAAATGGAGGAGAGGCAGATAGCTATAGACAAGGTGATTCCCAGTCTCTTGAATCAGATTACTGGGTGTAAAAAAGTAACAGCAACCTCCACAGTGAAACCTGTTTTAGTTAAAGGTGGAGGAAGGGTGAAAGAACTAGCAGTAAGAGAGCGCTTTCCCGAAACTGACTGCTGTTCATACCTATGTCATGGAACCCTCACTACAGCCCATGGGGTACTTGCCCCATGTTACTGATGAGGAACCTGCAGTTTAGAGGGACAAGTCTTACCCAAGGCTCAGGTGGGCTTTGAACTGAGGTTCATAGGAGTTCATTCCGGGCATTTTGCTGTCTGAAAACTTAGAATATTTCAGAAACATTTTCCAGTGATGAGCCCAGTGCTGTCAGTACTTGCATTTCACAGACACCACTGAGTGTTCAACTTGCTGGCTTTGAAATCTGAGAAGTGCTTTCTCGCTGTATCCATTTGCATTTGCATCACAAACTGATGATGGGTGAGCAGAAGCTGCAAACTTGCTTCTGTTCTTATATTTACTACTCTGCGACCTTCAGAAGGTCCTCACATGACTAATAGCTTAGAGGGGCAATGCAGATAGCACAAGCTGGGTGCATGGCGCATAGTAGGTGTTGCATGGATAATAATGGGTATTTTTGCTCTGTTACACCTTTTCTTCTGCCTTTTATTTTTAACATGACACTCACTTCAGCTTCTCTAGGGAGGCTAGTGTAAGTCAGAAATTACAGCAATAGTGCCATTTATCAGTTGACTGCCTGCCTTGTATCCCAGTGCATTTTTTCAATTTGTTAATCCTCATATCCTAACAGTAAGGGGTTAATCCCTGACACATCTGTCCTGTAGGAAGTATTGTTGTGACTCTGGTCCACAGCTGAGCAAGAAATCAAATTGTTAATTCAGAGCTTTGGGATTGAGATCCATAGCTCTTGAACTCTGTGTGTCAAGGTCCTCTTTAATACTGAATACATTTTAGAAATCTACTTTGAATTCTTGTATCTAAGTTCTTTTATCTTTGATATCTGAAAAGTAGGCCTAAACTCCCTTCTCTGCATCCTACACATTTCTGTATTGACTTTCACGTGATCACATCTCACCAGTCCCTTTTTGTCTAGTGCCTGCCTTCCCCCTGCTCTTTTCAGAACTAGTTTTGGAGATTGTTCAAACCCAAGAAACTGCTGCCGACCCCCGGACTATTCTGAGCAAATGTATCACAGGCTAATATTAACTCTTGATGTCTCTGGCTTTCCTTCAAAAGGGTTTTACTCTTCCCAACTTTAAAAAGTCAAAGTTAGTAGAAATTCTTGTGTCTTTCTTCCATTTCAAAGTGAGAAATTGCTCAGTTCAAGGTAGCATGTCTATCCGATCAATGTGATGATTCTTTGAATTTCCGGTTTTATTTTAAGTTCAGTTCAGGACTGTAGCAGTAAGACTGTGGCACAGCTTAAGTGAAACTGTGCTTCTCCTAGTAGTTTTTCAGTGTTGCCACGATGTGCTTCAAAGAATATTTTCTTATTTTCCTATCGTATATTTTTTATGGATTGTATTGTGCACTCCCAAAATTCATATGCTGAAGTTCTAATCCCCAGTCTCTAAAAATGAAAATTGTTTGGAGATAGGGCCTTTACAGAGGTAATCAGGTTGAAATGAGGTCCTTAGGCTGGGCCCTGATCCAGTAGGACTGTATTCTTCTGCAAAGGGTAGATTTGGATGCAGACACAGACGTGCACAGGGAGAGCACCACGTGAAAGCGAGGGCACAGATCGGGGTGATGTGCCTTCGAGCCAAGGAACACCGGTGTTTGCCAGCAAACCACAGGAGCTGAGAGGGAGGCCTGGAAGATTCTCCTTCAGGCACCTCACAAGGAGCCCACCCTGCTGGCATCTTGCTGTAAATTCTGGGCTCTAGACCTGTGAGACGATAAATTTCTCTTGTTTACACCATCCAGTTTGTGGTGCTTTGTTACAGCAGCCCTGGAAAAGGAACGCAGGATCCATCGGGGAACCGCTCCCCCTGAAGCAGCCACAGTAGCTGGGGCAGCCCTGCAGGTGACGGACAGCCCCCTGCACACTCCTGAACTAACAAGGAACCTCGCCTCACAAAGCACATTCACGTGAATCATCCCCCTTATTCTGGATACTCTTGACAGGCGCCTAAGCTTTCACTAGCTTTTTAAAAATCTTCCTTTCTTAACATTTTGATAAAGAGCATTCTTTGGTGCCTTTGTATGACCTTGCCATAGCACCGCGTCCTTGAAGGCATGTATTTTATATTGGTTAGTTGAATGAGGACTAGATTTATCTTTTTTTTTTCTTTCTTAAAATGTGCTGATTCTTTTTGAAAGAGTTTAGTGTAAAATTGCTGAATAGATTGGGACTCATCTAAAAGCAGCCATTAGTGGTATGTGAATTGCCAGTACTTTCCAGTGTCTGTCTTCAGTCACTTTGAGTAAATTAACTCCACCAGGCAGCATCTTAGGGAAATTAATGAGCAAATGTAGAGAAAATATTTGTTTAAGCTTAAGAGTCATGGTGGTAGTCATCCCTCTCCATCTCTGGATCTGTTTATTTTTAAGAAATTTCTCACAGATGTAAGTGACACATGGATATTTTCTCCCAAATGTTTTCCAGGAGGAGCCACTAAACCATATGGAAAATAAAGGAAACAACAGGCTTCTTTCTGATGCACTGAATCGCTGTAGCCTCTCGAGCAGTGGTATTTATACTTTGGGAAAGGAAATGATTAGAATGCCTTACTTTTCTAGGGCTAGCTGACTCCAAGAGAGGTCCATACATTTGAAGACGTTACGTGGAATGTTAAACGCCCCACTGCCAGCAGTGGCGCTCTCCAGAGCTGGGCAGCGAAGGACAGCTTGTTAGCAACCACAGGATACTTGGTGTTAGGGGTGTAATGGGGGCCAAGATAGGCGTAGTCCTTGGCTTCATGGAGCTTACCTCTGATTGTAGAGTGTATGCACACACACATACACATTCACACAACTAAAGGGGCACAGACCAGTATGTTGAGTGTTTCAGCAAACTTGGAGGACCAGAATGTTGTGGGGGAAATGGGACAAACAGAGGGATTAATGTGATGGCATGAACAGACACCCTGAATTCCCACCTTCCCTCTCTCCCTCCCTCCCTTACTTATTAAGCAAAATTACATGTCAGAGACTCTACCGACAGTGGGCATATAAAATTTAATGAAGCACTATGAATCTATTGGACTTTCTTTCCTAAAAGTCATCTGATTTTACTTTCAAATCACATCTGAAGTCCTCCCTTTGCAAGCTTCCACAAATAGGTAAAGAGGGACAGGTTTCCTCTGAACCAGTCCCAACCTCATATATGTCACATCCATGATTAACTCTACCCTCATCTTCCCACCACATACTGTGTATTTGCACAGTATATGGGCTTTCCTTTGTATTGGTTGGCTGGCTGATTTGGTATGTTTTATATACCTCTGTTCAGTTCTAAATATCTGTGTCAGGTAATTTGTTTCCAGAAGTAGAGTAACATCATTGTATGCGGCTTTTAATACAGTACTGTGTGCATGTGGTGGTTGATTTTGTTTCGTGTGGTAATGCAGTTTTTGAGTGAGAGTACTTTGTTCTTTCCTTCAGCAAACTTCTCTGTAAGAAACAACAGGAGCTTAACCATGTTAGTTGCTACTTAAACCAAAACTTCAGCAAGAACACACACAAGCTGCATTTCTGTGTAGGTAGGACAGTAAAGCCCCAGAAATATGAAAGGCTGGTTAAAGTAGGGAGAGTGGAGGTAGGAAGATTTATGGGACATCCAAAAAATCTACCCTAATCCTCTCATCAACCACCACCCTTAATTCAGAAATGATTTTATAGGAGGCTGTGTGCTGCAGGGAAAAGATTGAAGTTCTCAGTTTGAACTTGGGATCTTCCCCTTATTAGCTGGGTGGCTCTGAGCGAGGGCTTCAGCCGCA